GAGGAGTCCAGCATCAGTGGTTCCATCCTAACTGTGCCTCTGGCAGCCAGTTGTGGGTTGAGAGTCAGTCCCTGTACGCCAAGGAGTGTTGGGTTAGGCTGGAGTCCATGGTGTGCTACAGAGCACCCAGAGCCTGCCCAGGAAGAGACGAAACAGACCAGGAAGGCAAGGCTTGTAAGGGAGTGTGGTTGTGTTTGCAGCCTTCTGTGACATTTGAGGATGTGGCCGTGACTTTCACAGATGAAGAGTGGAGGCATCTGCTTCCTGTGCAGAGGGCGCTCTACAAGACTGTGATGCTGGAAAACTATGAGAACATCATCTCACTGGGTAAGGAGTCAGAACTTGTCCCCAAACGTGTGGGTCACAAGGGCAGGGGATGGCCACCTTTTTGACCCCCATCTGAGTTCAGAACCACCTGACAGATGAAAGGGCCAAAGGAGGTGGCTTTAGGTGCTTAGCTGGTGACCCCAGCCCTGGACTGCTGGACTGCCCTGTTGTTAACGGCACTGGGAAACCACAGATCTCCTTTTTCAGCAGCTTGCTTCCACCTGACAAGGCAGTCTGCAGGACAGGGCAGAGCACGTGTGTTGTGGGTAGGGATCTGGCTCCCCAGAGGCAGGCAGCAGAAGAGGTAATGTGTCTGAGTCTCCTGGCACGCCAACTGGTAATGACTCAGTTCCATCGAGTAGACAGGAGCCATCTTGGTGAGAGGAGATGTCAATCACTTCATGGAAGACGGAGGAGGACAAAGAAGTGCCCCTGTGGAAAGGAAAGAGGTCATCAGAGATGTGCTTGATTTTGAATGTTTGTCTTAATGACAACCTTATAAAGGGCACTTTGTAATCAGACGTATGTGACAAGCCTGTGATGTGCAATATTGCACTCTTGGATTTTTGAGGGAACCCCCACCCAGCTCCCACATAAATCACACACAGAGGCTTATTCTTAGTTATGAATGCCCAGCCTTAGCTTGGCTTGTTTCTTACTAGCTTTCCTTAAATTATCCCAACTACTTTCTGCCTCTGGGGTTTTGTCTTTTCCTTACTTCTGTGCATCTTACTTGCCTTCTTACTGCATGACTGCCTGGGTGGCTAGCTCCTGATGTCCTCCTCTCCTTGTTCTCTTGCTTCTCCTCTTCCTCATTTCTCCTTCTATTTATACACTCTGTCTGCCAGCCCCTTGCCTTGCTATTGACCGTTCAGCTCTTTATTAAACCATCAGGTGTTTTAGACACACAGCTTCACAGAGTTAAACAAAAGTCACAGTCCTGAAAATTATCTTCCCCAAGAGGGAAAGTAAGAGCTTTTGTTCATGTCAGCTCTTAATGAAGTAAAGCAAAGTCCTTACAGGTAATAAGGAACACCCAAAAGCTTCCAGAATAAGAGGCTGAGGCCAAGCACAGTGGTTTGTACTTGTAGTCTTGGCCACTCTGGAAGCAGGAGCACACAGATGCAAGAGCCAGTAACAGTCACACTCATGTTGCAGGTTTGTATTGAAAAGCCAACATTGGGCTGAGGATGGAGCTAAGTGGTAGAGTGTTTCCTAGCATGTGCAAAATTGTGTTTAATACATGGACACACCCGCACACATCAGCACCTTCTGTATTAGCTTAATCAGGGATATTAATTAGTTAATATCCAAACTGAAAAGATTGTTCAGTTGGCATCAAGGAAGATCCTGAGATTTTATCAGAGGCTTTGGAAGAGAAGAAGCCACAGGAAGGAATGGGCGTGGTCACTCTGCCAAAAGAGAACCATTACACACCAGACTGATGCTTCTCAGGCCCAGGAAGAACAAAGATTCCCTACCTCCCCTATCTCCCAAAGCAGAACCTTGTCCACAGGGATGTTAAAGCTCAGGTGTTTCCAAGAGTGAGATCTAATTTTGTTCATCTGGCTATAGATATGTGCTGGATGGTGGTGCCACATACCTTTAATCCCAGCACTGGAACGGAGGAGACCGGTGGAGCTTTGTTAGTTCTAGGCCAGCCTGGACTACAGAGAGAGTTCCAGGGCAGGCTCTAAAGCTACAAAGAAACCCTGTCTTTAAATAAAATAAATAAATAAAGGACAGTCTGTCGGTAGGAATTTACTAAATTATATGTCCATATAATGTCCTAGACTATAGCTATTAAAACATTGTAGAAAATCTGTGCTAAGTAAAATTAATGGTCTAAATTTACTGCATGAAATGAACTTCAGTTTGCAACACAGTAGTGTTTCATTATCTAGCTTGGTTCTTATAACATTGCATTCCATTTTTTCTGTATTTACCTGGGGGAGATGCATGTGCAATAGCATGCATGTGAAGGGAGGGGACAACTTGAGGGAGCTGGCTCTCTCCTTTAACATGTCAGTTCTAGGGTGTGAACCCAGCTTGGAGGCTTGATTCACCCAGTAAGACATCTCCCCAGTCCCCATTATCCAGTCTCTGACAGAATCAATGTAAGGTCCTCCTAGCATCAACATTAAGGCAGGAAATACTAGCAAAAGTGTGAAAGGTGACTCCAGTTTTCCTACAGTGAGCACAACTGGCTTGTTTCCATGGAAACATACTAAGGATGATCAGAAAAATGACAATGAGTTCCTTCCTTATGCTTTTTCAGTCAGGATGCTCCTTTTTCCCTCTCACCTCCGGTGCCAAGGGCCTCTACCTGCCAGTTGTCCGGATTGAAAGCTTCCCTATGCTGCCTACGAATTGAGGTGGCTTTTTTTTTTTTTTTTACTGATTAATAGGGTGGTATTTATTTAAAGGGGGAAAACTTACAGATCACCGTTCCAGAAAACAGCCCTCTGCGCAATTGTGGGCTGCTCTGGTGCCTGGCATTTGCCCTTTCAAGAACCCAAGTGCTGACCTTCCCCAGAGGTGTCTTTGGTCTGTATTCTGTGTTTCTGAGAGTCTACACTTAGAGGCCAGGGTTGAGTTTGGAGTGGTTCAGCATTGTCATCCCAGCAGCCTCCTGCCTTATGCTTTCTCCCTGAGCAGGGCTTCCTGTTCCTCGACCTGACGTGATTCTCCCATTTCTTCAGTTGAAGAGCAGGCCCGAGCCATGGACACAGGGGCTTCATGGATGTGAGGAGAAAGAATGGCCAGACAGTGTCTCTCTAGGTAACCAAGTCTGAACAGAATGGGCAGAGTTTTGTTTGTTTCTGTTCTTGGGTGGACGAATGTTAGGGATCATCCTTGTCTCAGATTCAAGTTGTCCGCTTGCGTGTCTGTTTCCTATTGCACATCCGTTCTCTGGTTCCCCCTTCTCCACATTAAAGTAGGACTTCCCTGCATTCACCAACTTGTTTCTCAGAACTGTCACCTAGCCTGTGTATACCACCAATATTTTTATTGGCCTCCCAGGTCTCTGCTCAGCCTACTCTAAAGAATCTATTGGCCCCACTCCCAGAGCCGTTCTCCTGTTCTCTGAGAAGTCTGTTTCCCCATTCCTTCCCTGCTCCTCCCCTACTCCCAAGCCGTAGGTTCTCCCAGAGTCTAAGCTCTCCGGAAAGTGATGCCCTGTGACCAAGTGTTCCATCTGTCATAGTGTTTCTCTCTTCTGTCATTTTCTCTGAGTCCAGAGAAGAAACTGCATCTGAGTTTTCTCTTTGTTGCAGACTGGGAGCCTAAGCCTGAGATCCCAGATGCTTCAGCAGGAACCCTGAGAGACAGTCATAGAAGGCAAAGTCCTCTGTGCACTAAACTGGAAGTTCAGACACTAGCAGGTGGATTGGAACCAGCAAAGGGAAGTCCTTCAGCAGAGACTTGCAAGAAACGTCTTTCCTCGAACAGAAGCTTGCAGCGAAGGCCAGCCCCATCCAGGAAAGCCCTTGCTAAGCACCAAGACCAGGAATGTAGTGACTGCGGGAAGACCTTCTTTGACCATTCGTCACTCCTCCGTCACCAGAGGACTCACACTGGAGAGAAGCCCTATGGCTGTCCTGAGTGTGGGAAGGCCTTCAGTCACAGGACCAGTCTCAGCAGTCATCTGATGTCGCACACAGGGGAGAGCCCCTATGAGTGCAGCGCCTGCGGCAAA